CCCCCCCCCAAAAAAAAAAAAAAAAAACAAAGGGCGAAAAAAGAAAAATAAAACCAAATAAAAAATCCTGACTCTGCCACTTTACTCTGCCTACGAATATCATGACACAATATGGCAACTTCTCTATGTAAAACATTGGTCTTGGACATTATTAAAACCAAATATCACCATGTGAATGACAGACTAGTAGTTGATACGTAACAGCTTCAGAACCGAGACTATTTCTTGTGGCAATGTCACTGTGTATCAACTTGTCAGCTTGATAGTAAACCACTAAAGAGGTAGCTAATAATTTAAATGATACTTAAAGTTGCCATAATAGAGAAATCCGATCATTCTAATGACAACTATGTTAATTCTCAAGGTTGGATCAATCCCCAAGATACAAACTTTAATTAACAACAGGTTACTATGGTAAACTCTACTTCTAGAACAAAGCCTTATCTGCTAAATGGGAAGCAAAGATTCACATCATATTTTGCAGAGAAAATAGAGCACAGAAGAAGAGAAATGAATGAGTATATGTTCCTTATTTCCTAATAGACATTCAACCCTAGCATAAAAAAGCTCAAATACACTTTCAAGCATGTGTACATTAAGTCCATGTGAACTTCTCTCACTGTAATCAACATCACACTTCATGAAAGAATATTGATGGAATATAAAAAGAAAAGGTAGCAAGTAAAAACATAGACATCAAGATCAATAAAGTGCAAACCACCGGTACAACAGGAAAGTTGCCATTTACTAAAGTTGGACATATGAATCCCACATTGGATAGCTTGACTATATATAATATGAGGAGAAACATACTCTTGAAGATACCTGAACTTTGTGGGTCATGAGAATAATTAAATAAATAAAACTTAAATTGAAAGTCAATTTTCACCATAGTTTTAGGTTATATGTACTGTGGTAATGACAAATTTCAAAATGTCAAGCCTCAGAAATAAGCGCCATGAAAAAAGACATTTTCAGGGACAAGATGCAATTCAGACATTACCTGAGAGCAGTGCGGTCGCGAAAGATATGAAAAAGAGCATTTCTGAGAGATTTTCGATTCTCACTTGACATAGATGCTGCTAGTTTTCTCCCTGGAACATCAGTAGTCCTGTTTGAACCAGTGTCCACATGTGCAGAAGCTTTCTTCTGGCCCACATTTGAGATGGGAGAATTCTTGGCCTTCACATGTAGAAACCTTCCTGGTTTGGACAAAATTTCTTTTATATGCTTACCTCTGTTTAACCAAGCAATTTCCTGTTCCTTTACAATTTCTAAATGTTCTTTTATAAATGATGAATCACGCTCTTCTCTTAGTTTCCAATCACCAAGGGAAAGCCTTTCATAAGCCAATGGTCTTAGGAATTGTCTCAGATCCTCATCAGAAATCTTTAGCTCCTTGAGCTTGCTCTGCTTAATCACATGATTCTGACTAAACAGGAAAAGGATGTAGTCTCTCAGTTGAGCTTCATAACCTTCACATATCAAAGAACTTTTGGAAACCCATAATCCTTGTACCAAAAATGCAAACTTTTCGAGCACCTTCAAGAAATCTTCTTTCGGAATGGTAGAATCAAGATATGTAAGAGCAGCAAAACGATTTACTTGACACCCCTGCAATAGAAAGTTTGATCATAAAGTGTAAACTTTCCAATTGTTTAGGCCAGTCAGGGATGAAGTATGAAAGTACAAAAAATGTAGAAAATATGGCGAAGACACTCGTTCGCTAAAGTACAGTGCAAGTACATTATTTAAAGTCAGCGTAACATAGGATCAGATTAAACATAATCATGTGAGCAGTATTAGGCGAGAGAAAAAAAAAGATCATGATCTTTTAGTAAATATGCACATATACGGTACATATTAAGGACTCCACTAAGGTTACCTTACATAGCCACTCTTTTAATCGTTCTTCCAGTGGCAGTGAGGGACAGAAGCTGCAGCACAACAAATAAAGAATCAGACAAGAGACATAAAAGTCAATTGTAATAATTCATTGGTGAGAATTTGGTAGAGAACTGATAATGCCATAATAGTTTGAGAATGCAACAATTATTAAACGAGAAAGTAGTCAAAAAAATCAGAAGCAAGTTACTAAGTAGCAGATGACAAACAATTATTAGAAGATATTTAATGGGTCTACCTGGTATCACAAGACCACGATCCAGGTTTTCCAAATAATATAAAATACAATCCTAGACCCTGTTTACTTCAGGCCATATTCTGTCTGCAGACGAGGATATTAGATAATATGCAAATTTATCTACAGGCCTGGGTCAAGGTTAGGTTGTGAATAAGTACTCATTTATAGGTCAAACAAAAAATTCTACTAAGACAACTAAAAACCTCTATTCTTTAACAATTCATGCACTTGATAAGGCATGCACATCTGGATTTGGATGCATTCCCCACGGATACTAATTTTGATCGGATATGGCTGGATCGGATTAAAGTTCAGGTCAATACCATTCTCAGGTCAAGACAGAGGGCATAATAGAGCCAAGTCAATCAAAGCTGTGTTTGTTTGTATTTTGGTTGCTTGAGCTTAGTTGCTAAATGAGAAGCTTGAGCTTAGCATGATTAAACATGTCTATATTAGCTATGTGATGTCAAGCTTACACCAGGCTTAAAAAGGGGAAAACATGATATTGAGTTTTGGTCTCAAAAATATTTTAGTATTACAATCTGTTGTGATTTATTTAATCATAGCTCATAATTAGTATCATGCTTCATGATCATGTCAAAAAATTTCATGAACATGCCACGATGACCTGTTGGTGGGTAAAAATTAGTACATGAAATATCAAATTTAAAACAACAAATCTAATCTTTTTAATATCTTTAGCTGTATCAGCCTATCAGGCTCATTTTCATGTCATGATTAGCGTAAAATTTACTGTTAAATTATTACAAGAAACAAAAGCTAAACATCGGAAAATGAAGCTATGCATTTCAATTGATCATTCAGGTACAGCTTTAGAATTAAGTAGGAGTATAGGAGAAAGTAATAAGAAAGTAGGCTCAAGAATTAAGGACTGACTAAAGGATGAGAAAAATCAAGTGATGCCATCTTCAATTTTGAATATGAGATAAACACATAACCATCATAAATACTGCAAAAGAGATATTGGAACTGAATAACTCGACCTTGATGAAGGCACTCTTGGGTTTGCTTTAGCAGTTGTTCCCGGACACAAGGAGTTCAAATATCCAGACCTTAAAAGATATTACAGAGTTAATGCAAAAACAACTTCCAGGAAATCAATAGACAAATAGTGTGGCAGCACCAGGGCCGGATCTGGGGCGGATCCAGGTGAGCGCCCGCACAGGGCCCCCAATTTTTGGGGGCCCCCAAATTTTTTTTATATATGTATATTTATATATATGAAGAAAAAATGTGGACCGTCTATTTTATACCCAACTTAATCTCAACCCTCTATTCAAAACTCTTCTTTCAAAAAGATCAGCCTCACCCAGTCACCCCCAATTCTTCACTTTCTCACGATTCTCATCTCATTTCTGTCTCAAACCCTAGCCGCCGCCAGAGTTCCCCTCCTCTCCGGCTCTTCGACTCCACCGCGGCACCGCCCGAGGCCGAGGCGGCGAGGCCAGCCCCAAATCGTCGTCAACCTGCATCGCCATCGGCATCCTCTCTCCACCCTCAGCAGCTCAGCTCAGCTCAGCCTCGGCCCTCAGACCCGAAATCGCCGCGACGCCGCCAACCCCGAAATCGCAGTCCCCATCCTCGGTCCCCGTCCTCCAAATCCAGTTCGGTCCCCATCCTCCTCATTTCCTGTGCGGACGCTCACCTGGAGCAACCGCTGCAGCCCCATTGCCCCAACCCCCAAATCCAGTTGAGTTCGGTCCCCCATCCTCCTCATTTTTTTTATTTTTATAATTTTTTTCTGTTGTGAACTTGTTACTTGTGATTTTTAGGGTTTTGCTGCTGCTGATTTGAGATTTCTTTTTTTGTATTGCAGGAGATCCAAGCGGCTAAGTGGGTCTTACATTTTCGGTGCTGCCGTTGCGGCGTTGCCGTAGTGTCGTGCTGCCGCTTTGTATTCTTCAGTCCGAGCTGTTCAACAGGTTGTATTGTTCCAAATCTTTTAACTTCTTTCAATTTGATTGTGATATTGTTTGTTTTATTATAGAAATGCCTCCAAGAAAGTATCCATCTGGATATGATAAACGCAAGAAAAAAAGAAAAATTGAACAATTTGTCCAAACTCAAAGTGGAGCGCTTGATAAATTTATTGTTAAAGAAACACAAGATTTAGTTGAAAATTCAATTGAAAATGATAATATTAATGATTTGGGCCTGAATGAGTATGCGAATGAAAATTTGAATCATAATGAAAATGAGAATCAGAATGAAAGTGAGAATCATAATGAAAATGAGAATCAGAATGAAAATGTGAATCATAATGAAAATGATAATGAAAATGAGAATCAGAATGAAAATGATAATGAAAATGAGAATCAGAATGAAAGTGAGAATCATAATGAAAATGATAATGAAAATGAGAATCAGAATGAAAGTGTGAATCATAATGAAAATGATAATGAAAATGAGAATCAAAATGAAAATGAGAATCATAATGAAAATGATAATGAAAATGAGAATCATAATGAAAATGATAATGAAAATGAGAATGAAAATATTTTAGGCAATGAACAACCTAATCAGTCCATGCTCATGAATTTGAATATTTATGATCCAAGAACTTGGGATAATATGGACACGAAATCTAGAGATATATTAGTGGAAAATGGCCCTATAAGAGATCTATTTGTTGAAAAAGGTCCTAAAGATAAATTAGGAAGATGTTTTTCTTCGGCATTTTACACTAGACATTTATCAAATGGAGAGAAATGTGATAGGGAATGGTTAGTTTATTCAAAGGATATCGATAAAGTATTTTGTTTTTGTTGTAAACTGTTTAAAAATGGTTTTAAGAAAAGTTTTTTAATAAATGAAGGATTTAATGATTGGATGCATCTTAGTGCTAGGCTTAAAGAACATGAAACAACTAATGAGCACATCATTAACATGAGTACTTGGCTTGATTTACGCATAAGATTAAAGAATAATAAAACAATTGATAAAAATATTCAAGAGCAAATTAATAAAGAGAGGGAACATTGGAAGAAAGTATTACAAAGAATAATTTCTGTTGTTAAATATCTTGCTAAACATAACTGTTTGGTTCAAAAGTCGCTGCTGTGGAATTCATTATAACTTTGTTCGATTACAACTGAGAGAATTTATCAAAATCATAATGGAAATTTTTTAGGCCTAATTGAAATGATTGCAGAATGGGATCCCGTAATGCAAGAACATGTTCGACGTATTGACCATGGTGAAATTCATTATCATTATCTTGGTCATAGCATTCAAAATGAATTGATAAGTATGTTAGCTTCTAAAATCAAATGTGCAATAGTTCAAAAAATTAAAGAAGCTAAATATTTTTCAGTAATACTTGATTGTACTCCGGATGTAAGTCACCAAGAACAAATGACTTTAATATTACGATGTGTCGATATTTCTACAAGCCCGATAAAAATAGAAGAAATTTTTATAGAATTTTTAAAAGTAAATGATACATCTGGACAAGGACTTTTTGAAGAATTGCAAAATGTGCTAAAAACTCTTAATCTTGATATTGATAATGTACGAGGTCAAGGGTATGATAATGGGTCTAATATGAAAGGGAGACACCAAGGTGTACAAAAAAAAGTACTTGAAATAAATCCTAGAGCATTATACACGCCTTGTGGTTGTCATAGTCTTAATTTAACACTTTGTGACATGGCAAATTGTTGTGGTAAAGCAAAAGACTTTTTTGGAGTGATACAACGCATTTATACATTATTTTCTCACTCAACAAAGCGATGGCAAATTTTGATAAATAATGTAAAAGGTTTAACTGTGAAACCATTGTCGACTACACGTTGGGAAAGCCATATTGAAAGCGTTAAAGCAATTAGATTCCAAACGCTTGAAATAAGAGAAGCACTACTTCAGTTAGCAGAAACTGATAATGACTCCAAAATAAGAAGTGAAGCAGATTCTTTAGCAACACATGGAATTGGAAATTTTGAATTTTTATTAAGTATGATTATTTGGTATGATATATTGTTTGCTGTTAACTTAATTAGCAAATATTTACAATCTAAAGACATGCTTATTGATATTGCTATAGATCAAGTAAAAGGATTGATTAGGTTTTTTAGGATTATAGAGAAGTTGGGCTCACACAAGCTATGACAATTGCTAAAGAAATTACTACTGAAATGGAAATTGATTCTGTATTTCAAGTAAAACGTCAAATCCGTAGAAAAAGACAATTTGATGAGAATGTTAATGAGGAGACAACACAATCAGCTGAAGAATCTTTTAGAATCAATTATTTTTTGTGTATTGTAGATCAAGCTATTGGTTCACTAAAGAAAAGGTTTGAGCAATATAAAGCATATGAAGATATTTTTGGATTTTTGTTTGGTTCAGAAAAGTTAAACTCATTAGATGATAATAATTTGAAAGCATGTTGTGATAATCTTGAAATTGTTCTAAAATATAAAACATTTTCTGATCTTGATGGGAAAGATTTATATGGAGAACTAAAAATCTTACGATATATTTTACCAAAAGAAACAAAGATGGCTATTGATATACTGAATTTCTTAAAAATACGAAATTGTTTTCCAAATGCATGTATTGCTTATAGAATATTATTGACTATACCTGTTACAGTCGCATCTGCAGAAAGAAGTTTTTCAAAATTAAAATTATTAAAATCTTATTTGAGATCGACCATGTCACAAGAAAGACTAAATGGACTAGCTTTGATATCTATTGAAAATGATTTTATTGATAAAATTGATGTTAAGGGCTTAATTAGTGATTTTGCAGCTAAAAATGCAAGGAGGACAATTTTTCGATGATACTTTATATGCTAAAGGCTTCGATATCTCTTATTAAGGTAAGCACAGATACAAGAGAAACATAATATGCAAGTATTTCTTATTGTGAAGCACATAGTCGCGATTACTTTTTTTTGACAGGTAAAAATGCATATTACTTGAGCATATGCTTTAACAATTGAGCTTACTCCTACTTGTATGACTTCATTTTTGCAGGATTTGGGTGGTTCAGATCCTGAAGATGCAGAGTCTCAGAATCGCTTGCATTACTCATATGTAAGGTAGTCATTTTCGTAGAAGTTGGTGAATAGTAGTCCTCCAACAAAAAAGAAGAAGAACTTGAACCTTATTTTATTCTAATTAAAGTTTTGGTTGTTGCTGCTAGTGTAGGATCATAATGGAAGTCATTGGTAAATTTCGAACTCCTTACAAGAAAGTTCCTGGTACACGCGACCCCTTTGATCCTTGAATATTTTTTATTGGTACAGTTTGTTCTATTAATTTAAAGTTATTGGCAATGTCTTCATTGGGTACTCGAGACTATCTTTTGTTATACATTGCACGTTTATTTTTTTTGATAGATTGATATACATTGCACGTTGAGCATTTGATATTTTGACTGGCCTACTATGAATTAGTCTCAAACCTGTCATGTGGTTCAACATTGGGATTCGAATTGGAATTTATTGATATTTTGTATATAGAGAAAGGCCCTGTGTTTACTTTTCGCACAGGGCCCCTAAAATCTCAGATCCGGCCCTGGGCAGCACTTCTTCCTAAGCAGACATATGAAAAAGAACTTACGGACTCATCGTAAAGTTGACATTATAATCTTTCTGCGTCATCAGCTTCTGTTGGTATTTGCAGGAAAGTTCACTACCTATTGGATGGTATTCCAGTGAAACCCAAGGCTGCAAAGCAAGAAATTCAAAACAATCACCATTGTGTAACACCGCGTGGCAAAAGATAAATAATGAAAGAAAAAATCTAAAATTTTGGTACTTTATGCAATCCACTGATAACATTTTGGGTTCTGGTTGGGTCAGGTTGCTCAAAAACACACCCTTAACCAAACCTAAAAATAACAACTGAACCTCTCAATCTATATGACCAACCCAACCCAACCCAATCTGTACCGTGTTGGGCTATCCCTGGACTCCCCTATATGTGGATTTGTTTGTCACTTAATATTCACTTCATTTCCAGTGAGCTTAATATTTGACACTTGGTTCAGAATCCTCAAAAGTATTAAGAGATAATATTCAATATCATCTATGCCTTCACAAAAGGAGGACAGATGATTACTTTGGGTTGAGGTTGTTCAGCTATAAAGTACAGCTTTAAGAACTCTCCACTGAAACTTGGTTGAAGTTTATGACTAGTCAAAATCAAATCAATCACCTGACCTGGTGTCAGACAATAGAAAGGAGTTCTCCATACACCAAGTAGGATACTCCCATGGGTGGGGGGAAAGCTAATCTTTTGGATTATACAAGATTTGCTCAGTAAGACAGCAAAGAAGCAGGCATCAAAAGATTCTCATACAGAAAAGACAATAAAAGAAGAGGGAAATATAAACAGATTTGTCATAAGAAGTATCAACGGAGATGATATAAACCATCATTTCCTGGTAGTGGCAACTTAACCGTTGTTTTTGTGAATTCAGCACCTGTGAATCTTATTAATGCTTTCAGTTCAACGTTTCTTAAGTCAAATTCAGGTTCATATCAAACAAAATGCGCAGCTACAGAAGGCATCAAACACATATCAAACTGAAACTACTGGGACCGCACAGAAACCAGAACGATAATGACACAAGTAACTACAACAAAGAAACTGAAGAGACATCAAACTTAATTTTATTATTAGGGTGAAAACTGAATGGCCAAAATTAAATAGGATATATCAAGTCTCACCCACCTCTGCATTGTCTAAGTGATCAGCTGAATCCCCCAGAACCAACTTTCCCTGCCAGAACATGCACATGTGATCAAAAGGCTGAAACTCGGTCCATATAGCAAGTCAAAGGCTTATGAATAGCAAACTGCATTAACAGACTAAGCAATAATATCATAGTATTCTTTTTAAGAAATCAAGTTTACCTACATTATATGCCAAATAGAACATTATTTCACAAAAAATGTTCCATGAAATTCACAGTTAGATCGGAAAAAGTCATGTTCTGAACCAGGAGAATGAGTACGCTTGAGAATTCATGAGAAGCCATTTCCTCTGCTTCTTGTCATTAATGCCCTGTTTGGATGGAGGGTAGGAGAGGTAGGGGAAGAGAAATGCAGCTTTCACCCTGTTTGGGAGTTTTTGTAAGGAGGGTAGAGAGGAGGAAGGAAGGGGAACGGAGGGTAAAATTGCTTGGTTTTCTTTCCCCCCCGATTCGGGCGGTAGAGGAGGGTAAAGGAGGGTAAAAGGTGTAATGACATTCTTACCCCCCATCAAAACAAATAAAAGGGCTGATGTATTATTAGTATAAGGTCATTTGTGTAAATTTACATATATTTCATTCTCTTCCCTTCCCTCCATTATTACTCCCAAACAAGTTATATTAATTTCACCTTCATTCACCTTACTCAACTCCCAAACAACATATTACAATTCTCTTTCCTTTCCTTCCCTTCCCTTCCCTTTGTTTACCTTTCCTTCCCTTAGCAAAGAGATATGATATGCACATTTCATGGCAACCAATTTCTTATTTAAGCCAAGAAGGATAGATCGCAAGAAAACATATTACAAGGCAAACATAAAAAGTTAACAATCCATCAAAGAGAAAAAAGAATCTCTTTGCAGTTTACCAGCCATTAATTCAGATTCAAATACCTAAGATGCTACTGTGTGACTTAGTCAGCCATCACTAAGGGTTTATTTAAATAACGTAAGGATAAATTTTTTACAGGACACTGAAATCCATTGATGGCATAGTAAGAGTGTCAGATTTAGTGTTTACTGGCTTCAATTAGTCATCTAAGTTTACCTTATTAGCCTTGTTAGCAACTTCTTCAGTTTTATGCATCACTTGTTGGGCCTCACACTCATCAATGTGTTTCATCGATGGTCGAAACTGCAAAACTTCATGAATGGGACTCAGGTGCAACTGCAGGCTCGAGAAGAAAATAAATAAATAAAATACTATCAGAAATCTTGCCAACCTCAATCAATTACAGTGTAAATTCAACTAAAATTAATAGATTGTAAATGCATCAGATACTAGTTTACGATATTTGAACGATAGGATCAAGTGCACCAAACATATAGTAATTAGGAATCCAAGAATGGGATAGAGAGAAAAGGGTACCAATCCCATCATTCTTACCTGGTTCTTTATCAGAATCCCTGCAGCATATTGTACTGTGGAACTTGCGCTGGATGATGATAATATCTAACAAGAAGAAACATGACTATAATGTTAAAGTTCACATGATTCACAAAAATTCAAGAGTTTACGTTTACAATATCTAGTCAAAACTAATATAAAAATGGGAAGATCAATGCAGTCTATCAGAATAATGCATGCAAAAGCTAGGTGGGAAAGGATAGTTATAGCTGTATGGAGCTCAGGTATAGTGGATAAGGATAATAAACTCAAAAAAATGACATCACCTGCTTTTGTAACCTTGGAGTCCCAGGCTTACTCGCATCATAATTCTCACTCTCAACATCCACACTCATAACAAGTTCAACTTCTGAATGTTTAGGTTTCACTTTAACCTGGAACAACGTGGAATAATTCAAACACACTGCATGTGAATGCATAAAAACCGTTTGTGTTCAAGTAGGACATCTTGAAACTTACCATTTCACATCTTTCGTCCAGTTCATATGGACGCCAATAGGGTCTGAGCGGGTATTGCATGATATACAGCTGCAAGTTGTCAAACAATTAGCAAGTAAAAAAAAAACTGCTGGGGAAGATTTTACTGCTAACGATCTGAGAATTTGACATATTGCTGTTTCAAAACTGTGTGAAATCCTGCACAGCGTGCAACCAAACACTCAAAGAAAATATTTATGTTTGAGTTTTAATTATATGAAGCACGGAGAAATGCCCAAGATGGGTTGATCATATGGAACGGAGGTCTCTAAATGCACCAATTAAGCAAAGTGATAACACTATAATTAAAGGAGTAAGAAGAACCGAAGGTAGGCATGAGCGAACTTGATTGGAAGCAACTAAGATGGTTACAAAGGTCAACTTTATAAAAGAAATAGTTCTTAACAATAGTACTCTGATGTGACCGGCACCCAGAATTTTGTGATAAACGATGGATTGTTGCTATTCTAGAAATGATTTTACCAATATCAAGATCAAACTTTCTTGTTCAATGTATCCTACAAGAAGCAAACATAACAATGACAACATGATTATCGCTAATGACGTGTAAATAAAATAAGGGTTATCTGCACTACAGTACCCAAAGTTCTGCCTGCCTTAATTTTGTTATGTAAAGTTCTATTTTGACAATTTGATCTTCAAATTGACTTTAATTTAACAATTTGCTACCCAAGTCCTCACTTTTTCGAAACTCAAAAGACAGAAATTCAATAAGAAAAAATTGATTTTCATTCATTTCTCTACGTTGATTTCTTGAACAAAATTGACGTCAATTTTTTTGCACTTCAGGATTATCAAGTCAAAATGCAACCTCAGGACCTCAAAGTTGAAAAAGTGTGAACTTTGAGGTATTAAGTGCAAAATAACCCACAAAATAAAGAAAAGAAGTACCATCATGGTATATCTTAAATCATACTCCTACATCTTTAGTTCCCATCATCCGCCCACTCTCCCGCATACCATATATCTTGAAAGAACAAATTTTCAAAACAGCCCTAAAAAGATTTTTATTTTTCAAGATCGACCCGGTTTTTTTTTATTTACCAAAACAGACCCGGTTTTTGCCACGTGGGCTTAATGACGTTCCTAAACAGTCGGGGTTGGCAACCCCGACTGTTTAGGACATGCAAATTTCAGGTTTAAGGATATTAATTAGGGTTTAACACCCTCCTAAACAGTCGGGGTTGCCAACCCCGACTGTTTAGGAACGTCGTTAAGCCCACGTGGCAAAAACCGGGTCGATTTTGATAAATAAAAAAAAATGGGTCTATTTTGAAAAATAAAAAAAATTGGGGCTGTTTTGAAAATTTGTTCTATCTTGAAATCTCTTCTTAAAAAACGGAAATTTTCACTTTCGGACCAAAGTTACCGGCATCAAACAGACAGTAGATTCATCGAATCCGATTAAACTTCAGATCGAAACTCTTTAGACTGTCACCTTATCCAGAAATATTTAACACTCGCATAAAATTTTGAAGAAATTGGAACTAAATAACACTTAATCGAAGAACCGAAATTAAAAATAAAAAAGAAAGAAACCCTAAAAATGAGAAATTGACCTGAGAATCCTCATCCAGACGATTACAGTAGACATCGATCTCGCAAACCACTTTGTCTTCTTCATCCCCATCATCATCGTCAACTTCCATCGGAGTAGGAATTGAGAGAGCAGCGGTCTTCGATTGATCGAGTTCTGGATCCGCCGAGGGCTCCGCCTTCGTCTTGCCCTTGAGTTTGGGCTTGAACCGGGGCGGGATCGGCCTCGATGGGGTCGGATCCGAGTCGAGATCCATGATGGACTTGTCGCCGAAGAGGTCGGCCGTCTCCATGGTGGTCAAAAACGGAGGGCGGCGAAGACGCCGTGGCCGGCGGCGGCGATGGCTGAATTAAAAAAAAGGAGGAAAAAACACAAAACCCCCCTAAAAACTTTTCGACGATTCGAACATCGGTCGCTCACTTGAGAGGAGAGCGCTTTACCGCTGGACTATATGCGTACTGCACGTATGAAGTTACGACTCTTTATTAATACGTTTAATAATGAGTTGGAACGAACTACCCTACGCTTCCCCGGCTTCTCACTTCAAACCATCTTTGGCAGCACCGATACACGCTAAAGTTTTTAAAGCTTTTCACTTATATACCTTAAAAATCCTTCATTTTGACACTTCAATACTCAAAAAGTTTTTAAAACATGCACTTAAATACCCTTTTAGGCACGACATCAAGTTTGCATAACTGAGGGTATTTAAGTGTTAATTTAAAAATTTTAGAGCATTTAATTGCAAGTTTTATAAAATTTAGGGTATATAGGTACTGCTAGAACAAATAAGGGCAAATAAATGCAAGCTTTAAAACTTTAGGGTATTTAATTGCAAACTTAAAAAACTTCAGGGCTTATAAGCACTGCTGCTAAAACAAATGAGGGTGTATAACTGCAAGTTTTTAAAATTTTTATAGCATACAAGTACGACTGAAAACAAACGAGGACATGAGTGCAAAAGACGGGAAATGATGAGGTATTTAAGTGCAACTAAGCCCCCAAAAAAAGATGACAACGTGCTCCCTTGTTAATTGTTATGCACCAAAAAAAAAGGGGGGGAGGGGGGGAATGTGTCAAGGCCCCAAAAGCAAAAACTTCATGTGACCAGCCCCCTTATATTTTTTCCCCATGTGGATAAGCCCCAAATACCTACAGTATTTGTGACGAGGCCCTAAAGTATCACTTTTAAAAAAAAGCCCATGGGAAGTTACGAACTTACCCCTTTGATGGGACTGTACTCGTTTACTGCGCCCCCTTCCTATTCAAGAACCGCGTTTCCCTCTCCTCCTCTCCTCCACCCGAGCTTGCAGCTGGAGCTCGCCACCCGCCTAGCCCGCGATTGCCGCCGCTCCGATCATGATGGTCTGTAGAGACCACCTGCTCCAACTCCAGTGTATTAGAACTAAATGTCATCAATGCATTTACATCACGAGCAGATTTCAAATTTGATATATGCAGATTTATTAGTTCTATGTTTGTTGGTTTTGGTTCCTTTCACGAGCTTTGAAATGAAAGCTAAGTCATCAATGAATCATTCTGAGTGCTAAATATTATGTTGAAAAGAATTATAAGTTTATTTCAGTCCCCTCTGGGAAGCAAAGTTTCTTTTACTGGTTGAAATATGCTCTTTAATGTTTGCCATAGTTTTGCTAGTTGAAATCAAGCTGGCTTACGAATTTTGCCTTCTGTTGTAAGAAGCTGCCAACATCATCCATAATATTTCTCTTTTTTCCCCTTGTCACTGAAATACCACGTTAGTTCTATTTTATACCACGTTAGTTCTAATTTATACCACGTTAGTTCTAATTTATAACAAGTTAGTTCTAATTTATCTATTTTATACCATGTTAGTTCTAATTTATACCAAGTTGGTTCTAATTTATACCACGTTAGTTCTATTTTATACCAAGTTAGTTCTATTTTATACCACATTAGTTCTAATTTATACCAAGTTAGTTCTAATTTATATCAAGTTAGTTCTATTTTATAACAAGTTAGTTCTAATTTAAACCACATTAGTTCTAATTTATACCAAGTTAGTTCTATTTTATACCAAGTTAGCTCTAATTTTAACCACGTTAGTTCTAATTTATACCACGTTAATTCTAATTTATACCACGTTAATTCTATTTTATAACACGTTAATTCTAATTTATACCAAGTTAGTTCTATTTTATACCACGTTAGTTCTAATTTATACCACATTAGTTCTAATTTATACCACATTAGTTTTAATTTATATCACGTTAGTTCTAATTTATAACAAGTTAGTTCTAATTTATACCATTTTAGTTCTATTTTATACCACGTTAGTTCTATTCTGTAGAGTGTTAGTTCTAATCTGCACAGTGTTAGTTCTATTCTGTAGAGTGTTAGTTCTAATCTGCACAGTGTTAGTTCTATTCTGTAGAGTGTTAGTTCTAATCTGCACAGTGTTAGTTCTATTCTGTAGAGTGTTAGTTCTAATCTGCACAGTGTTAGTTCTATTCTGTAGAGTGTTAGTTCTAATCTGCACAGTGTTAGTTCTATTCTGTAGAGTGTTAGTTCTAATCTGCACAGTGTTAGTTCTATTCTGTAGAGTGTTAGTTCTAATCTGCACAGTGTTAGTTCTATTCTGTAGAGTGTTAGTTCTAATCTGCACAGTGTTAGTTCTATTCTGTAGAGTGTTAGTTCTAATCTGCACAGTGTTAGTTCTATTCTGCACAGTGTTAGTTCAAGTCTGTAGCGTGTGATGGCTTGTTAGTTCTATTTTATTACACGTTATATCTAATTTATACCACGTTATATCTAATTTATGTTAGTTCTAATTTAAACCACGTTATAAACCTAATTTATACCATGTTATATCTCATTTATACCAAGTTAGTTCTATTTTATAACAAGTTAGTTCTAAAATTTTAACCAAGTTTGTTCTAATTTATACCAAGTTAATTCTAATTTATACCAAGTTAGTTCTAATTTTAACCACGTTAGTTCTAATTTATACCACGTTAGTTTTATTTTATGTCACGTTAGTTCTATTTTATATCAAGTTAGTTCTAATTTTAACCATGTTAGTTCTAATTTATACCACGTTAGTTCTATTTTATATCACGTTAGTTCTAAATTACACCACGTTAGTTCTATTTTATACTAAGTTAGTTCTATTTTATACCATCTCTATGACTAAAAGCTGGTCATGTAGAGAATTTAAAACAAGCATTTAGTAGGTATCTTTATTATGGCGGACCATCTTATGCCACGTAAGAACACAACATTCGCTTTCATTATATTTTGTGGAGAAGTAATCTTATACAAAATACAAAATACGTAAGAATTGATTTAGAACTAACATGAACTAGTTCAAACAGCTTGTTCTCTAGGAAATGCATGGCTCAGGGACAACAAATGACAAGGCCCCCTATAACACATGAGGTTTATGTGCAATTAACCAAACATTATACAGATTCTTGATGGGGTTCAACCCCTAAACACTAGTAAATACAATGGCTAATAACATAGAACAAAATGGATCACCTCTCCCTCATCTTCTTCCACTTCGTCCAAACAACTCCCCAATCATACCCTCCACGTCCTTCACCTTGTACTTCAACCTCACATTCCCCACTTTACAATAACAACCAAAAGAAGAGCTCAAGAAACAAGAAAACCAGAAATCTCAAAAACACAAATTTTTCAAGAACTCACTCATATCAGATCCCAGAAGAGGAAGACGAAGAATCCTCCTCCAAGAAACCATCATTCGACCACTGCTCAGAGATCTCGACGGCTTCCTTCTCTTCTCATGGTTTCGTCCATCCGTACGAGAGCTAGTCCCCTTCTTTCAGAATCTCCTCGGCCAAACCCAGCCTCCCGCCTGAAATCAGCTCCTCCCTCGTCAAAAACGCACTCGGGTTCTCAGATTTCTCCATGAAATCGTAGATATCAAGCTCCAATCTACTGACGCCAGCATCCTTACGTTTCTTAGCGGAAATCGTCGTGGAAGAGGACAAGCGGAGACAGGGGAAGGGTTTCGACGGCGGCAGAGCAGGAAAGAACGAAGAGAAGAGGCTAGCGGAGCTCCGGCGTTAGCTCTACCTCCAGCACATCCGTTGTTGCTTTTTTCTGGTTTTGTTTTCACCACATACCAGAGCTAACATTTTATCAGTCGTGGGCCCGGAGGGACTTGGGGGGCGGCGCCGGGGGCCTGGGCAAAGGTGATGACGGCGAGGAGGGCGAGGGCCCCTTTTATTTTAGAGAGAGTGAGAGAGAGGGGAGAGAGAGAGAAGGATGACGTGACTTTCTATGCTTTTGGGCTATGTCTCGGGAAGAAGGAGAAGGGCAATTTGGGTTTTTTTTAAAAATACAATCTCTATTTTGTATACTGCTAACGTGTTGGGGCATTGACACATTTAACATTACTTTTTAAGGCTTATCCACATGGGGAAAAATACAAAGAGGTTGGTCACATGAAGTTTCTTCTTTTGGGGGCTGAACACATTTTTCCCAAAAAAAAGAGTATCCAAAGAACATGCGCCCTCAGTTTAATTGTCCGGATACAACCGAAGAGGTATGGAGCTAGCGTGACAATTTATGTGCTACAAATACACGAGTATACTTTTATATCTCCATAGTCCTCCAGAGAAATAAAAAGGAGTTACACTCTTCACCATGTACTTGAACATTCCTTTTGAGCAGCGTCAATGAAGGCAAACACCAAACTCAACACAACATCAGATTCAAGTTCAACTTGTCAAAGAACCAGGCAAGTGCATAATCAAGGAAATTTCACGGATTTAACAGCCCCAGCGACAAACGTTACAAGAGCAAAGTTGCAATAACACCAACATTTTGGTTTACAGATCGAACTGTGAAACTTAAACCTATGTACAAGAGCTACTAACCATCATCATATAAAATAAACAAGCAAGGATTGCTGTTTAGGTACGTAAATACAATAGAGGGGTGAGGTTTAATTATCACAAAAACCTTGGTCCAAATTTAAGCTGCTTTCTTCTCACCCACTTGGTACATATTACACATAAATCACTGCTTCTTGTTTTCTGCATCTAAGAAACCCCAGTGAGGTTTTGCTGGGATACGAGCAAGAGCCTTCACTCCCAGAGGATTTTTCTTGCTCTGTGAACATTTACAAGAAACTTGATTAGAACATGACTATAAAAAGCAAAACAAAGATCAGCTTGCTAGAATGCTTTAGTATCATCATAAACTAGCTTGGCTTACTTTTTGAATCAGACATCAGTGTGTGGACTCTAATAATAACATGATTTTGGATAGATAGCAGAAATCAGGCATCAGTGTGTGGACTCTTAATAATAACATGATTTTGGATAGATTGCAGAAAATCCTCCTCTTTATTGGATTCGCAGAAAAGCCAACCAAGGTTTCTCTCAAGTGGCCACGCCGCTTCTAGTACACTAAAAATTTGAAGTTACGGTGAGTCGTTCAGGGTTACAATTCCTTGCTCATAACATCCCTCCATAAACAGAGTGTCCCATTCACGAGGCTGAAAACCGAACTGTTCTATGCAATGGCAATCTACTCTTAAATGTGTGCTTATGGGATTTGTGGATGAGTTACTCTGGTGTTGTCTTAATATCTTTTCCACCATATCGAATGTTGCAGGGGATTTTCTATAATTCTTAGTAACCATAGGGAGATTTCTCATAATTATTCAGTTTTTTTAAATTACCAAGTTTAAGAGAGAGAAGCAACTTACAGTTAGACAAGTTCCAGCCCCAACATCGCAGATGGGATAGTCATGAGGGCAGCAGCTGTAGTGATCCTCACAGCATGTAGCTCCTTCAAGAGGACAACATCCCCAAGCAAAACAGGAACGACCAGTCTCGAACACGCAGCAGCACGTCATTCCATCAGGGCACGAATAGTAGCTATCACAAACACTGGGGGGCTTCACAGGGGAAGGAGGGGATGGGCCTGGGTTGGGTGGGTTCGGGCCTTTCTTGATGGGGTAAGAAGGCTCGATCGCAATTCCACACTTGCCGACACTTGAAGCAATGTTGCGCTCGAGCTTGATGTAGCCAGCCTCTCCCCAGGATTCGCCCCAGGAGTTACGGACGAGCCAGTAGTCTTTGCCGTTCTCGGTGCCGTAGCCTACAGCTGTGACGCCGTGGTCTAGATCAGTGCCGCATCTTCCGGTGAATATGCCCTGTAATGCAATAAGGGGAGCATATTTAACTTGGTGAACCAGGAAAAATTAACATTTAGTTTTTGTGCTATGAGAATTCAGAATCAACACAAAGTAAAAAAGTTGTTTGATATCAACAGGTTGTTTGGTCAACAGGAATAGAGTTACAACGGTAAATGTTGCAGCCAAGTTCCGATGTTTAATGTTTGGTTAACGACATGTTAGTTAATGGTGTGAGTCCTTGCATTAATTAAAAAAATTAAAAACTAATGTCATGTCATCAGGTCGTGGATTTCAACGTTTAAGATAAGATTATGAATGATGATGCAAGAGATAGAAAAATTAGTAGGAATCAATTATAGAACTGGACAACTTATGAATCTTATGCCCGCAGGTAGTCGACCAGAAATAGCAAGATATGTTAATGTGCCTCAATGTGGAGCAATATATTCTCCTAAATGAACAAGCACAAAACCTAAAAACTAAAACATATCTAATGAAACATGTGTATCATGAAATATATTTATCTTCGAAAGTAGTCAATGAGAAAATTAATTCAAGCCATAGATCTGCAATCTAAAATCTGAAACTGACATCAAATCAGTGGACTCATAAAAAAGTTTAATTCAATCATGTAACATAGAGATCTCACCGATTGATAAAGTTGGAATGCCCTTCCCGATGATTCAATTGCAATACTAACAGGCTGGTTGGCAACGGCCTTCTTCAAGGCATTCTCGTCATTCTCTGGAACATCTTCATACGAGTCAATTGATACAACCTTGGCGTTTTTCTGCAAAAAATAAAGAATAAAAACACAAATGAGGATCAAAACACCAAATATGCATCTATATCCAAAACATCCAGTATTCGAAGGTATAGGCTTCCAGCCCCATTCCTGCATATAATTCTAACTGATGTGGTGTACATCATATGTGTTGGGGCGGAGAGTCACACCCACCGCCGCGGAAGCGATATCACTTGAGAGATAGCCCTGGCTATTGTTGTCACAAAAGCACAAGTCAACCTTTATATTCTTGTTTCTCAAAGGAAACGAGAATAGATAGTGAAATTCTTATTTCTCAAAGGAAACAAGAATCGAAAGTGATATATTTCATCAAAGTGAAATATACACTCTTCCTCTCATCAGCTCTAAGACCGAATATTGAGGGAACCTACAAGCTATGACAACCAACCAGAAAACAATAAATACACGAGATTTACGTGGTTCGGCAAACTTACCTACGTCCACAGGACAGTGTTAGTTCCGTTCTGTAGAGTGTTAGTTCTAATCTGCACAGTGTTAGTTCTATTCTGTAGAGTGTTAGTTCTATTCTGCACAGTGTTAGTTCCGTTCTGTAGAGTGTTAGTTCTAATCTGCACAGTGTTAGTTCTATTCTGTAGAGTGTTAGTTCTAATCTGCACAGTGTTAGTTCTATTCTGTAGAGTGTTAGTTCTAATCTGCACAGTGTTAGTTCTATTCTGTAGAGTGTTAGTTCTAATCTGCACAGTGTTAGTTCTATTCTGTAGAGTGTTAGTTCTAATCTGTACAGTGTTAGTTCTATTCTGTAGCGTGTGATGGCTTGTTAGTTCTATTTTATTACACGTTATATCTAATTTATACCACGTTATATCTAATTTATGTTAGTTCTAATTTAAACCACGTTATAAACCTAATTTATACCATGTTATATCTCATTTATACCAAGTTAGTTCTATTTTATAACAAGTTAGTTCTAAAATTTTAACCAAGTTTGTTCTAATTTATACCAAGTTAGTTCTATTTTATACCATGTTAGTTCTAATTTATACCAAGTTAGTTCTAATTTATATCAAGTTAGTTCTATTTTATAACAAGTTAGTTCTAAAATTTTAACCAAGTTTGTTCTAATTTATACCAAGTTAATTCTAATTTATACCAAGTTAGTTCTAATTTTAACCACGTTAGTTCTAATTTATACCACGTTAGTTCTATTTTATGCCACGTTAGTTTTATTTTATATCAAGTTAGTTCTAATTTTAACCATGTTAGTTCTAATTTATACCACGTTAGTTCTATTTTATATCACGTTAGTTCTAAATTACACCACGTTAGTTCTATTTTATACTAAGTTAGTTCTATTTTATACCATCTCTATGACTAAAAGCTGGTCATGTAGAGAATTTAAAACAAGCATTTAGTAGGTATCTTTATTATGGCGGACCAGCTTATGCCACGTAAGAACACAACATTCGCTTTCATTATATTTTGTGGAGAAGTAATCTTATACAAAATACAAAATACGTAAGAATTGATTTAGAACTAACATGAACTAGTTCAAACAGCTTGTTCTCTAGGAAATGCATGGCTCAGGGACAACAAATGACAAGGCCCCCTATAACACATGAGGTTTATGTGCAATTAACCAAGCATTATACAGATTCTTGAAGGGGTTCAACCCCTAAACACTAGTAAATACAATGGCTAATAACATAGAACAAAATGGATCACCTCTCCCTCATCTTCTTCCACTTCGTCCAAACAACTCCCCAATCATACCCTCCACGTCCTTCACCTTGTACTTCAACCTCACATTCCCCACTTTACAATAACAACCAAAAGAAGAGCTCAAGAAACAAGAAAACCAGAAATCTCAAAAACACAAATTTTTCAAGAACTCACTCATATCAGATCCCAGAAGAGGAAGACGAAGAATCCTCCTCCAAGAAACCATCATTCGACCACTGCTCAGAGATCTCGACGGCTTCCTTCTCTTCTCATGGTTTCGTCCATCCGTACGAGAGCTAGTCCCCTTCTTTCAGAATCTCCTCGGCCAAACCCAGCCTCCCGCCTGAAATCAGCTCCTCCCTCGTCAAAAACGCACTCGGGTTCTCAGATTTCTCCATGAAATCGTAGATATCAAGCTCCAATCTACTGACGCCAGCATCCTTACGTTTCTTAGCGGAAATCGTCGTGGAAGAGGACAAGCGGAGACAGGGGAAGGGTTTCGACGGCGGCAGAGCAGGAAAGAACGAAGAGAAGAGGCTAGCGGAGCTCCGGCGTTAGCTCTACCTCCAGCACATCCGTTGTTGCCTTTTTCTGGTTTTGTTTTCACCACATACCAGAGCTAACATTTTATCAGTCGTGGGCCCGGAGGGACTTGGGGGGCGGCGCCGGGGGCCTGGGCAAAGGTGATGACGGCGAGGAGGGCGAGGGCCCCTTTTATTTTAGAGAGAGTGAGAGAGAGGGGAGAGAGAGAGAAGGATGACGTGACTTTCTATGCTTTTGGGCTATGTCTCGGGAAGAAGGAGAAGGGCAATTTGGGTTTTTTTTAAAAATACAATCTCTATTTTGTATACTGCTAACGTGTTGGGGCATTGACACATTTAACATTACTTTTTAAGGCTTATCCACATGGGGAAAAATACAAAGAGGTTGGTCACATGAAGTTTCTTCTTTTGGGGGCTGAACACATTTTTCCCAAAAAAAAGAGTATCCAAAGAACATGCGCCCTCAGTTTAATTGTCCGGATACAACCGAAGAGGTATGGAGCTAGCGTGACAGTTTAGGTGCTACAAATACATGAGTATACTTTCATATCTCCATAGTCCTCCAGAGAAATAAAAAAAAAGTTATACTCTTCACTATGTAGTTGAACATTCCTTTGAGCAGCGTCAATGAAGGCAAACACCAAATTCAACACAACATCAGATTCAAGTTCAACTTGTCAAAGAACCAGGCAAGTGCATAATCAAGGAAATTTCACGGATTTAACAGCCCCAGCGACAAACGTTACAAGAGCAAAGTTGCAATAACACCAACATTTTGGTTTACAGATCGAACTGTGAAACTTAAACCTATGTACAAGAGCTACTAACCATCATCATATAAAATAAACAAGCAAGGATTGCTGTTTAGGTACGTAAATACAATAGAGGGGTGAGGTTTAATTATCACAAAAACCTTGGTCCAAATTTAAGCTGCTTTCTTCTCACCCACTTGGTACATATTACACATAAATCACTGCTTCTTGTTTTCTGCATCTAAGAAACCCCAGTGAGGTTTTGCTGGGATACGAGCAAGAGCCTTCACTCCCAGAGGATTTTTCTTGCTCTGTGAACATTTACAAGAAACTTGATTAGAACATGACTATAAAAAGCAAAACAAAGATCAGCTTGCTAGAATGCTTTAGTATCATCATAAACTAGCTTGGCTTACTTTTTGAATCAGACATCAGTGTGTGGACTCTAATAATAACATGATTTTGGATAGATAGCAGAAATCAGGCATCAGTGTGTGGACTCTTAATAATAACATGATTTTGGATAGATTGCAGAAAATCCTCCTCTTTATTGGATTCGCAGAAAAGCCAACCAAGGTTTCTCTCAAGTGGCCACGCCGCTTCTAGTACACTAAAAATTTGAAGTTACGGTGAGTCGTTCAGGGTTACAATTCCTTGCTCATAACATCCCTCCATAAACAGAGTGTCCCATTCACGAGGCTGAAAACCGAACTGTTCTATGCAATGGCAATCTACTCTTAAATGTGTGCTTATGGGATTTGTGGATGAGTTACTCTGGTGTTGTCTTAATATCTTTTCCACCATATCGAATGTTGCAGGGGATTTTCTATAATTCTTAGTAACCATAGGGAGATTTCTCATAATTATTCAGTTTTTTTAAATTACCAAGTTTAAGAGAGAGAAGCAACTTACAGTTAGACAAGTTCCAGCCCCAACATCGCAGATGGGATAGTCATGAGGGCAGCAGCTGTAGTGATCCTCACAGCATGTAGCTCCTTCAAGAGGACAACATCCCCAAGCAAAACAGGAACGACCAGTCTCGAACACGCAGCAGCACGTCATTCCATCAGGGCACGAATAGTAGCTATCACAAACACTGGGGGGCTTCACAGGGGAAGGAGGGGATGGGCCTGGGTTGGGTGGGTTCGGGCCTTTCTTGATGGGGTAAGAAGGCTCGATCGCAATTCCACACTTGCCGACACTTGAAGCAATGTTGCGCTCGAGCTTGATGTAGCCAGCCTCTCCCCAGGATTCGCCCCAGGAGTTACGGACGAGCCAGTAGTCTTTGCCGTTCTCGGTGCCGTAGCCTACAGCTGTGACGCCGTGGTCTAGATCAGTGCCGCATCTTCCGGTGAATATGCCCTGTAATGCAATAAGGGGAGCATATTTAACTTGGTGAACCAGGAAAAATTAACATTTAGTTTTTGTGCTATGAGAATTCAGAATCAACACAAAGTAAAAAAGTTGTTTGATATCAACAGGTTGTTTGGTCAACAGGAATAGAGTTACAACGGTAAATGTTGCAGCCAAGTTCCGATGTTTAATGTTTGGTTAACGACATGTTAGTTAATGGTGTGAGTCCTTGCATTAATTAAAAAAATTAAAAACTAATGTCATGTCATCAGGTCGTGGATTTCAACGTTTAAGATAAGATTATGAATGATGATGCAAGAGATAGAAAAATTAGTAGGAATCAATTATAGAACTGGACAACTTATGAATCTTATGCCCGCAGGTAGTCGACCAGAAATAGCAAGATATGTTAATGTGCCTCAATGTGGAGCAATATATTCTCCTAAATGAACAAGCACAAAACCTAAAAACTAAAACATATCTAATGAAACATGTGTATCATGAAATATATTTATCTTCGAAAGTAGTCAATGAGAAAATTAATTCAAGCCATAGATCTGCAATCTAAAATCTGAAACTGACATCAAATCAGTGGACTCATAAAAAAGTTTAATTCAATCATGTAACATAGAGATCTCACCGATTGATAAAGTTGGAATGCCCTTCCCGATGATTCAATTGCAATACTAACAGGCTGGTTGGCAACGGCCTTCTTCAAGGCATTCTCGTCATTCTCTGGAACATCTTCATACGAGTCAATTGATACAACCTTGGCGTTTTTCTGCAAAAAATAAAGAATAAAAACACAAATGAGGATCAAAACACCAAATATGCATCTATATCCAAAACATCCAGTATTCGAAGGTATAGGCTTCCAGCCCCATTCCTGCATATAATTCTAACTGATGTGGTGTACATCATATGTGTTGGGGCGGAGAGTCACACCCACCGCCGCGGAAGCGATATCACTTGAGAGATAGCCCTGGCTATTGTTGTCACAAAAGCACAAGTCAACCTTTATATTCTTGTTTCTCAAAGGAAACGAGAATAGATAGTGAAATTCTTATTTCTCAAAGGAAACAAGAATCGAAAGTGATATATTTCATCAAAGTGAAATATACACTCTTCCTCTCATCAGCTCTAAGACCGAATATTGAGGGAACCTACAAGCTATGACAACTCACAGATAAAACAAATACAAACACGAGATTTACGTGGTTCGGCTAACTAGCCTACGTCCACGGGAGGAGGGTTTTTCACTATGAGGAAAAACACCAAACTTTACAAATTCTCTCTTTCTTTTCTCTCAAAAGAAATCTACACACCCACTTATTTTCCCCACACCCAAAACTACATCCATCCCTTCACTATTTATAGGAGATCAGAGGGGGGGGGGGGGGTTAACTTTGGCGGGAAAAAATCCCGCGCGCGCAGTGGGCAGCCAGCCCTGCTTTCGTGCGCGCGCACGAAAGCAGACTGCGCTTTCGTGCGCAGGCACGAAAGCAGCGGGCGGCGCTTTCGTACGCGGGCACGAAATCGGGAGGGCACCCCACGTGGGTGGGACCCCCCTGTCCCCCGCTCACAATTCTCCACCTCGTACATCATTTGATAAACCTCAAATTATGGACGAACACCAGAAGAACCCCACGAACTCCACCAGAGAGATATTCAGGCCAAACCAGGCCAAACCAGCTGCGTCACTATACCGCGACTGCCTACGTACCCTCCACTGGGATCAAGCTAACCGTAGTTCTGCAATTATTCTCCAACATAGTCTCCACCACACCTCCATCACCGCCCCGCAGGGCCATACCCTCTTGGGCAAATCAACACGGGCTGATATGAAGCAAGTCCAAGCAATGCTGGAACTTGCTGCCTGTGACCACCTTGGTTAACATGTCTGCGGGATTCTCATTCGTATGCACCTTCATGAGAGAAATATCACTATCCTCTATGACATCCCACACAAAATGATATCTGACGTCGATATGCTTGGTACGAGCATGATGAACTTGATTTTTCGCCAAGTGAATCGCACTTTGACTGTCGCACCACAAGTTCACGCTTTCCTGCTCAATCCCCAAATCGTCTAGAAGACCCCACAGCCACAATGCTTCCATCACTCCCTCCGCCATGACCATGTACTCGGCCTCTGTTGTAGAAAGTGCCACTGTAGCCTGCAACATCGATCGCCAACTAACTGGAGCTCCATGTATCCTGAATACATAACCAGTAGTAGATCGTCGTCTATCTAGATCGCCCGCATAATCTGAGTCCACAAACCCGTCGATCTGACATGTATCTCCACCAAAACACAGACCCGTATCCGCGGTACCTTTCAAGTACCTCAGGACCCATTTCACCGCTTCCCAGTGCGCCTTTCCAGGATTCGCCATGAATCTGCTGACCACACTAACCGCATGTGAAATATCTGGACGTATACACACCATTGCGTACATCAAACTGCCAACTGCACTAGCATAGGGAACACGCTCCATGTGTGCCTTATCTTCCGCTGTAGTGGGAGATTGTTTACCTGAAAGTCTGAAGTATTGAGCCAATGGAGTCACCACCGACTTAGCACTTTGCATCCCGAACCTCACGATCACCCGCTCTATGTAGCCCTTCTGACTCAAGAACAATCGCCGATTCGCCCGCTCTCTTCTAATCTCCATACCCAGTATTTTTCTAGCAGCGCCCATGTCCTTCATCTCGAACTCTTTACTTCGATGCAATAAGCATGTCATCCACATACAACAGGAGATAGATATAATCACCTCCACGAAGCTTCCGAATGTAGACACAACAATCATAGTCGCTTCGGGAAAACCCATGTTTTAGCATGAAGGAGTCAAATCGCTTGTACCACTACCGTGGAGATTGCTTCAATCCATATAATGATTTCCTCAAGCGACAAACATGATTCTCCTTGTCCTCAACCTTGTAACCCTCAGGTTGATGCATATAGATCTCTTCATCCAAGTCTCCGTGCAAGAAGGTCGTCTTGACATCGAGTTGTTCCAGCTCAAGATCACCATGAGCAACAATACTCAATAGGACCCGAATAAAAGTGTGTTTCACCACCGGAGAAAATATCTCATTGTAATCCACACCCTCTCTTTGTGCAAACCCCTTAGCCACTAGCCTCGCCTTGTACCTCGTTCCACCGAGCTCTGAAGGATCTTCTTTTCTTTTATACAGCCACTTACAACCTATAGCTTTCTTTCCTACGGGCAATGGGACCACCTCCCATGTTTGGTTCTTCCGGAGAGATTCCATCTCCTCCTCCATCGCAGCCAACCAACTCTTACTATTCTTGTCTCGAATAGCTTCCTTGAAGAAGACCGACTCATCTTCCTCCACCGAGAGTGCGTATTCAACCAAATTAACATGCCCATAGTGCTTCAGGGGTTGATCAGCCCCCAGCTTCTGTACCTGCTTGTATGCTCGTCTTGGCCTAGTGGAAGCCAAGCTATCCTCGAGCTGTTGTTGTTGTAGTGCCTGTGTATTCTCCTGCTGAATTTCCCACTTGAACACGACTAGAACCTGGTTGGTCTTTCGGTTCTATCTCAATAACCTGTGACTCGGGAGTCCCGACAGTATCAACACCACCATCTTTGGGCACCCTAGCAATCATGGACTTCTCATCAAAGGTAACGTCCTTGCTGATCACGAACTTCGAATCTTCTGTACACCAAAGGCGGTAGCCTTTTACGTCCTTTCCATACCCCAAGAAAATTGCTTTCTTGGCCCTCGCGTCAAGCTTTCCCTCGTTGACGTGATAGTAGGCGGTACATTCGAAAATTCGGAGCCTCTCATAATCTGCATGCTCCCCTGACCACACCCGATAGGGTGTATCACCGTCTAATGTCGAATGTGGAGATCGATTCACTATATAGCAAGCTGTAGCAATCGATTCTGCCCACCATTCTTTGCCCAAACCAGCATATGATCGCATACTCACTGCTTTCTCCCGCAGTGTTCGGTTCAGTCTTTCCGCGACCCCATTTTGCTGTGGTGTAGATCTAACTGTCCAGTGTCTAGCAATGCCCTCCTGATCACAGAACTCCTTGAAGACACCGTCTGTGTACTCTGTACCGTTGTCAGATCTCAGCGTCTTTAATTTCTTTCCCGTCCTGTTCTCAACCATCGTCTTCCACTTCTTAAATGTCTCAAATACCTCATTCTTATGCTTCAGGAAATAAACCCAAGCATACCTCGAATGATCATCTATGAATGAGACAAAATATCTGGAACCACCCTTGGAAGTTGTCGAAGCCGGACCCCAAACATCCGTGTGCACATAATCTAGTATCCCTCTGCTCTTGTGCTTGCTCCTCAGAAATTGAACCTTGTGCGCCTTTCCATACACACAGTCCTCACAAAAATCCATGCAAGGCTTCTTCAGATTCTTCAGTAAACCCTCTTTACCAAGCAGATCCAGACCCTTCTCTGACATGTGCCCAAGCCGCCTATGCCATAACCGTGTGTGCTCACATGGGTCTCCACCACTTCCTTCAGCTCCAACTGCTGCATCTCCCGTCACCGTCGTACCCGAGAGAGTATATAGATTACCATGACGAACACCCTTCATCACTGTTAAGGAACCCCGAACAACCCTCTTCACTCCGTTCTCTGTTACAATCTTGCAACCCCAGGAGTCCAAAGCTCCGACTGAGATGAGATTCTTCCGCAAGCCGGGAACGTGTCGTACGTCCGTCAGGGTTCGAACCACTCCATCATGCATCTTGATTTTGATATCACCTAGCCCCACCGTTTTACAAGCATGGTTGTTCCCCATCAATACGGTTCCACCATCAATGCCCCTGTAGGTAGTAAATCACTTCCTGTTTGGACACATGTGGTAAGAGCAACCAGGATCAAGAATCCACTTCCCGGAGGTATCCTCGTCATCCGTGACGACATAACATTCCTTATCGCTCCCATCCTCTGAAGCGTAGCTCGCCTCTTCCTTGCCTTCTCGTCTTTCAGTCTTGTTGTTGTTCTTTTTCCCACCTACTCTCTTGTTTGGACAGTCGACCTTGAAATGCCCAATTTCGCCGCATTTGAAACACGCTCGTCCCGCAAGAGGTCTCGATTTAGATCTAGACTTTCCTCCCTTGCCTTTTCCTCGCTCATTGCCTCTTCCTCTGGCAAACAGCCCCTGCGCTTGTTCTTTGTTACCACCAGTGGCCATATCACTAGTTACAAATTTTCGAAGATCATCCGCTAGAAGCGCCGTTCTAGTGTCATCCATCGATAAATTTTCACCCACAAGCATCAGTGTTTGCACCAGGTTCTCATAAGACTTCGGCAGCGATAGAAGTAGTAGAAGCGCCTGATCCTCGTCTTCCACTGTCACCTCAATGTCTTTCAAGTTCGATATGATCCTATCGAACTTGTTGATGTACTCCCGGATTGACGAGCCCTCGTCCATCTTGCAAGTATACAATTTGGATTTTAAATAGATCCGGTTCGTTAGACTCTTCGTCATGAAGGTGCTTTCTAACTTCAACCACACGCCCGCAGCCGTTTCCTCCCCGTCCACCAAGAAAGCTACATCCCTTTCAAGGCAAAGGATAATCGACGCCCGTGCTTCCAGATCCAGCTCCTCCCAATCCTCATCAGACATATCCTTGTGCTTCTTCTCTTTTTCTGCCAAGGCCTTGTGCAATTTCTACGAAATCAGCGAATTTTTCATCTGCATCCTCCAATAGGAAAAATCATTTTTCCCATTAAATTTTTCAATCTCGTACTTTCCAATTTTATTTGTTTTACTTGTAGACGCCATTTACCGCTTGTATTATGTCAATCCGCTTCTCTCAGGAATTTTTAACAATTTCTTTGTGTTTTACCACACAATATTCAACCACCACCTCAGATCAGAAATTTTACCACCTCCAGTCTGAATAAGGCTCTGATACCAATTGTTGGGGCGGAGAGTCACGCCCACCGTCGCGGAAGCGATATCACCTGAGAGATAACCCTGGCTATTGTTGTCACAAAAGCACAAGTCAACCTCTATATTCTTGTTTCTCAAAGGAAACGAGAATAGATAGTGAACTGCTTATTTCTCAAAGGAAATAAGAATCGAAAGTGATATATTTCATCAAAGTGAAATATACACTCTTCCTCTCATCAGCTCTAAGACCGAATATTGAGGAAACCTACAAGCTATGACAACTCACAGATAAAACAAATACAAACACGAGATTTACGTGGTTCGGCTAACTAGCCTACGTCCACGGGAGGGGGGGTTTCACTATGAGAAAAAATACCAAACTTTACAAGTTCTCTCTTCCTCTCTTTCTTTTCTCTCAAAAGAAATCTACACACCCACTTATTTTCCCCACACTCAAAACTACATCCATCCCTTCACTATTTATAGGAGATCAGAGGGGGGGGGTCTGAAGAACTTTGGCGGGAAAAAATCCCGCGCGCGCAGTGGGCAGCCAGCCCTGCTTTCGTGCGCGCGCACGAAAGCAGACTGCGCTTTCGTGCGCGGGCACGAAAGCAGCGGGCGGCGCTTTCGTGCGCGGGTACGAAAGCGGGAGGGCAGCCCACGTGGGTGGGACCCCCCTGTCCCCCGCTCACAATATGATTCCAAAAAGGCAACAATGGACATGAATTCATGGCCATAATTGTCAATACCTGCACCATGATTGCAACTAGAACATGACATCCCTTGCAGTATCAGACAGTTATTGTGATACAATAATTATCACATCATATACTTTTAAGTTTGTTAGTGTATATTTAAATAATTAACTTGGTATAATCTGGACCAAATGCTAAAATGAGCAAATCAGGTTAATGAGATAAGGTTATAAACCCTGTAGGGATCGCATAGCCCATTCCTCTCTTTGTAGGGATAATCCTTCTCGGTGTCAATTCCACCATTGTTGATGATAAATTCAAAAGCATAGTCCATAAGCCCACCATCGCATCCCTCATTGTATGAAGTGTCGCAGTCAACCAGTTCTTGTTCTGATAGAACAATCAGATCGCCAGTCACAATCTGGTTGATCCCTTCAACTGCAGCTACCGCTGAGAAAGCCCAGCAACTGCCTGTTTTAACAAGACAACAGTCTTAACCTCTATTCATCTATTGGTGCGATGAACAATCAGTATACTGGTAAATTAAAAAACTACTACTTTTAGTTAAATTTTGAGCCAAGGGTATGAATCATGTTGAAGGTAGGTAAGCCTTGCAAAACAAGAGCTAGTAAACTTAAGGGGTTGTTTGGTTGTTGTTGGTAAAGTTGTGTATTTATGACACAACTTGGAAAGTTGTTGTCCACCTCATCAATTTCACTTTTATACTTTTCTTTGTTTGTTTTTTATTCCATTGGAATCATAAAACACTTGTTTGGTTTGCAAAATGAAACTTTAATTGTTTGTTTGGAAAGTGTAAAAAGTGGTCCCTACTCAAATGATCATATTGGTTAGAACTATTTTTTATTATTTTTTCCTAACTTCAATGTTAGCTTTCTCCTAAAATCATGTCTTTTTTTCATGAAATCACTTTACAAGCCACATCAGCATATGAAATCACTTTACACTATTTTCACAACTACAAACAAACAATTGAAAGTGATGAAAGCTGACATTGGGACCCACTTTTTTACACTTTACCTCCTTTTACATGGTAAAAACATACAACCAAACAGCCCCTAAGCAATTAAGCATAGAAATATTAATTGAATTAACTAATCTTTTGAGTACAGAGGATAAGATATGAGATGCCCAAAACCTCAGGATTCTAACCTTGTTCATGAAAGACGTACTTTTGGGACAATCAACTTGTTGCAAGTAAAAATAGAAATGGAAATTGGATTTGTTGATAGTCAAACTGAATAGTACATCTAATCACTACAAACTCAGACGTTTTTTGTAAGAAATTAATCAGATACAGTAAAAAAATCAAAATTTTCCTCCTGAGAACTAAGGAAATTATTAAGTATGATCTCTTTTGTTTCAGCTGCAACCCAACAAAAAGATAAAACAGATAACAAAGTAACCTAATAAAAAGCATGGTGCAATTATCTGATAAAAAACTAATTTGTTTAATCTCCAAAATAACAAAGAATACAACTTCTTGATCAGCAAAAAAACAATAATTTCTTAAAGATTTTGAGCAGCGCACAGTGACAATCAAGTGCAGTAGCCAAAATCCAGCCACGAGAATCATACTCACAATTAAGATTAAAAACCCCCCACTCTAAAATCTAATTTATTCCAGTCTATCCGGAAAAAAAATCCAAAATTTACAGACCACGCAATAAGAGAGAACATCCACGGTAAATTTTTTTTTTTTAAAGAACAAGCCCTCGCTCACCCCAAATAAAAATTTAAGAAAAAATGTTGCCGTCTTGCACAAAAAAGGCCACATCTTTTACAAATTGGAGAAGACCCCCACCCTAAACCTTGGCTAGTCTCAGATGGTCGGCTACTCTCCAGAGTTGGAGAGGTTTTCTCTATATTTCAAAGCTCATGGTAATTACTAATTAAGGGGGTATCTGAAATAGAAAGAGGAGGGAAACTTACCACAACTCCCCTGATCCTTCATCGGAGCTACTGCCCCTTTCTCCCTCCAGTCAACGGACTCCGGCAAGCTCTCACCCTCGTTGACCTTATACCTGTCACTCCTAACCCTAACCCTCTCCTTCCTCCTCGTCCCAAGATACTTCGATCTATACTCCTCGTTCGTCAAGTCAGCGAACTTATTCAACCCCAGCCTAAACGAGTGCTCGCCTCGATCCGCCGCCGTGTTGTGCTCGTCGATGTAGCGTAGGTTGTCCTTGAAGATCTCAAAGCGGCGATCTTTTTCGCCGAGAGCGTTGTACTGCTTGTTGTGCTTCGAGAGCCACTGATTGTAGAGGAGACGGAGCTCTGCTTCGCTTCGTTCGATGCCTTTGAAGTTGTGGTCGTTGTTGTAGGTGATGATCGACATGTCGGAGTCATCGAAGGCGGCGGCGGCGGCTAGTATTGCGAGGAGGAGGAGGAGGAGGAGGAGGAGAGGGAGGAGGGAGAAGTGGAAAGATGCCATTTTTGAGTGAGGGGAGGAGATGAGTTTGAGACTTGGGATTTTCTGGTGGGGTTTAAATAGGCGGGAGGGGGCCGGAAAAAATAAATTATTTGAGTTTGGGTAGGACGAACATTTCTGGAAGGGAAATGACCTAATGAGTTGGCTACATTATGCAATAGGGAGTGATACCTCACATATCCTCTTCCTTGGTCCCATATTTTAGGTCCCCGTAGCAATACTCTTCTGGAAGTAACAACCGGGCTGAATTTTGAGAATAGCTTAAATCATTTTCTTTTTGGAGTTTGAGAATAGCTTTGTTACATGCACCCAAAATATAAGACCAATGGGGAGAATAGGTGAGGTGTCTCTCTCATTTCTATTATATAATGAGCTAGTCATCATTAATGATTGAGCCAACTCATTATTCAATAGAAGAAAGCAATAAAAAGAATAGGAACAACTCATCTGTCCCCATGTTGCTTCTATATTTTAGTTACTTGGAAAAGTTCTCTTTTGATAAAGGGCCAACAGTGGGGGACCACTGAGACTATTGTTGCAATATTAACCGTTGGATATACGCAAGGATAGAATGGGCGGTGATGATTGAGCTTGTGTGAAAAGCTTTATGGCGAGATGGGAATGGGGGACGTACGTGGAGAGATAGTACTGGAGCAACGTAGGTTTTTTTTTTTGGATATTTTATGACCTGGTCTTGCCTGTACAAATTAAAATTTAGCAGAAGCAGGACGGGTCTTTTTTTTTTTTTCCTTTTCAAAATTTTTGCTGGAGTTAGATGTGTCTAGTTTAAAAAGGAAAATAAGCATTTTACCTTTCTCTTAAGTCTAAATTATGTATAAGTTTACAATTGATGATGCGGTTAAAAATTCACGATAATTTGAATATTTTTAGTGGGATGAGCTGATTGTTGCACTGAGCAATCGCTTATAATAAAAATAAATTAGGTTGGGTTAAGTTATTTTCAAGGGGAAAATGTGTCCACACCCCAAAAGCGGAAACTCCATGTGACCCAGCCACTTGTATTTTTGCCTATGTGATTCAGCCACAAAAAATAGCATTTAATTTTTCAAGGCCCCTCCACATCAGCAGTACAAAAAAAGATATTGTATTTTGGAAAAAAAAACCCCGAAATTGACCCTCTACTTATCTTCCCCAGACACCTCTGGTTCCCAAAAACATGGAAAGTCACGTCTCATTAATGCGATCTGATGGAAAAAATAGAGAGAAATTTCCCACCCTTTTTTAAACTCTATCATTAGCAATAACTTATGTTAGTTCTAACTTATTTCATGTTAGTTCTAATTCATGTTAGAGCAAACTTTAAGTGGAACTAACATTAATATTTTAGTTACTTGGTCTAGTGGTAAAGCTTGAGAATTTGGAGAGGAGGTTAGGAGTTCAAACCGCTACAACTACAATATATATTTAAATGTTTGTTTTAACTCACTTCATGTTAGTTCTAATTCTAATTCATGTTAGGTTTAACTTAACTCACTAGAACTAACGCTTATATTAGAAATAACACTACCTGGAAGTAAAACTAACATGAAATCAGCTAGAACTAATGCGAGAATTGCTAGAACTAACAAGAGCTCAACTAGAACTAACATACCACTAGAACTAACGCATATATTAGAAATAACACTAGCTACAATTTAGAATTAACACGGCATCAGCTAGAACTAATAAGAGAGTCACTAGAACTAACAGTGACTCAACTAGAACTAACATACCACTAGAACTAACGCTTATATTAGAAATAACACTAGCTGAAAGTTAGAACTAGAACTAACATACCACTAGAACTAACGCTTATATTAGAAATAACACTAGCTGAAAGTTAGAACTAACATGACATCAGCTAGAACTTATATTAGAAATAACACTAGCTGAAAGTTAGAACTAACATGACATCAGCTAGAACTAACACGAGAGCGACTAGAACCAATAGGAGCTCAACTAGAATTAACATACCACTAGAACTAATGCTTATATTAGAATTAACACTAACTAAAAGTAGTACTAACATGAAATCGGCTAGAACTAACACGAGAACCACTAGAACTAACAGAAGCTTAACTAGAACTAACATACCACTAGAAATAACACTAGTTGGAATAGAATTAATATGACATCAGTTAGAATTAGCACGAGAACCACTAGAACTAACAGGGGCTCAACTAGAACTAACATACCACTAGAACTAACGCTTATATTAGAAACAACACTAGCTGAAAGTTAGAACTAACATGACATCATCTAGAACTAACACGATAGCCCCTAGAACTAACAGGGGCTCAACTAGAACTAACATACCACTAGGTATAACGCTTATATTAAAAATAACACTAGCTGAAAGTAGAACTAACATGAAATTAACTAGAACTAACTCGAGAATCGCTAGAACTAACATGGACTCAACTGGAACTAACATTCCACTGGAACTAACGCTTATATTAGAAATAACACTAGCTTGAAGTTAGAACTAACATGACATCAATTAGAACTAACACGAGAACCACTAGAACTAATAGTGGCTCAACTAGAACTAACATATCATTAGAACAAACGCTTATATTTAGAAATAATACTAGCTGAAAGTAGAACTAACATGACATCAGCTAGAACTAACACGAGAGCCATCAGAACTAACAGAGGCTCAACTAGAACTAACATACCACTAGAACTAACGCTTATATTAGAATTAACACTAACTGAAAGTAGAACTAACATGAAATCGGCTAGAACTAACACAAGAACGACTAGAACTAACAAGGGCTCAACTAGAAATAACATTAGCTGGAAGTTAGAACTAACATGACATCAGCTAGAACAAACACGAGAACCACTAGAACTAACAGGTGCTTAACTAGAACTAACATACCACTAGAACTAACGTTTATATTAGAAATAACACTAGCTGAAAATATAACTAACACGCATAATTCTTTTTTATTATTGTTTGATGTTGTTGCCTTACGATCTTAGTCTCGGCCAGCACTTCGGCGACGTCCACAACAAATTAAAGAAAGAATTGATAATAAAATAGCAATAACAACGATAAAAGAGGAGAGGAATTCACCTCACTTTTCATTTATAATTTTCGGAAACAATTACAAATAAAATATTTTAAAAAAATTTCCATGATAAAAAATTAATAAAAATTCAAGGTAACAAATTAAAACCTAACATGCTTGATGCACAGCGGGTCCAATCCAATCGAGCTTTTAATTAACAACCTAGCTAGCTATTTGATTAAACTAACTAGCTCTTGATGAAGCCGTCGATAAACTTTCCCCCGGCGTCCCTCGGCCAGGTGACGTCCCCCAGCCAGTTCTCGATCAGGAAGAGGGACGCCTCCTTATTGATGGGCTCGTGCTTTTTGACCCACTCGGTCCTGGGCCTGGGGTCGCCATTGGGCCCCCTGTTATTGTACTCAGTGTAGTAGCAGGTCTGGTGGAAGTCGGCCTTGTCCCAAACGGCCCAACCCTCGGGCTTGATCACATCCTCGATCTCTGACTCCATGACCACCGTCCTCGCCTTCGCCTTCCACGGCCTACCCAGAACCTGATCATTTCAGTGGCCATGACGAAAGTGAGAGAGAAAGAGGGGGGAGAGAGAGAGAGAGAGAGAGAGAGAGAGAGAGAGAGAGAGAGAGAGAGAGATGTGATTAATGATGGAGAAATTGTGAATAAATAATAAATATGGAGGGGCATAGTAACCGAGTTCAGTCTCATCAAAGAGGCAAGTTCGTAACTTCCATTGGGCTTTTTTTAAAATCTGATACTTCACATGAAGTTTCTACTTTTGAGGCTTCGACACAATTTTCCCTATTTTCAAACATATAATTGGGTTAGAATTTTCTAAGAAAAATTTAACTATCAACCTAGGCGGGCCAGGCTATGTCAAACATTGGTTGGGCATGCTTTTTTGTCAACGGGTTTGGAGCCGAACTCAGCCTAGCCCCCGACCTGGGTATATCACATGCCAAGTTCGTCCCAACGAACTGTGAGTCGGATCAGGTCTTGACCTAAGGCAAGATAGGCCAGTTCAACTAGCGATTAGAACCAACCCATGCCACCCCCTAAACCAGACCGGTTCCCTGTCGTCAAATTCTATGAACCCACCACAAAAATATCTTGGGGGAGAGTATCGAAAGCGTTAACTAACTTTTTTAGGTGATCAACCGTTTTGCTTTAATTAGCAAATATGATGGAAGATAGGTGGGATCCATGGTGAGGATAATTTGAAGATTTGTTAACACTACATGGATGGAAATTATAATTTGGTAGTCGTTTGTTAGCAATGCATATTATCATGTGGTTTTACGATAATATTGTATATTTTCATGGAGCTTTACAGACCAAAACATCACTATAGTCTATATTTTATAGTGCTTTCATACAAAGCTATTGTACAATGTTACTGATAGTAGTACTAGAATGGTAGAATATTAGATTTAATCATTTGAGAACAGGATTGAGGATGCACATTAAACAGTGGTCGACCTGTATTATGCAAACCATGTGTGAACGTCCTCACAGAAATTATGTTATGAACTAGACTTATTTATACATCATGCTTGTTCTTGATCATGGTCTTAGTATTGCTCTCAATGACAAATCTTTGATAGTTCTCCTTTATCTATTAGTAGTCTTTTGCATAACGATAATTTAGATGTTTCCTTACCCCGAAGTGTAAAGGAGAAGTTTTTTTTTTCCCCTCCAATGTCTATCTAATATTGCCTGCCAGATATAACTTTTAATGCCATGCGTATTTCCATTTCTTTGATTTCCCACTTTTTTTAGACAAACAAACAGACCCTTATTCATTTAGAATAGCTAGTTATAATTTATTAATGCAACTACTTTGTGGGCCATGGCTCCACCACTTATTATTGAGGGTGTGTTTGGCAAATTGAAAATTAACTTGAAAGAGTGACAATCACTTTTTCTTTTACAAATAATTTTTACATCCGCGTTAGCACGCAAGGCAAATGGAGAGTTTGTTTGTAGAAATAAATTATTATTGT